TACGAGATTTACAGGAAACCAACAAGCACTAAAAGAGTTATCCCCTATGCTTCCAACCATTCGTTCCAGCAAAAAATGGCGGCCTTCCACCACATGATTCATCGCATGCAGACTTTTCCACGCAGCGATACAGGAAAGGTTAAGGAATTACAGTACATCTTCGAAACAGCGAGACTCAACGGATACAAGGAGACCACAATCCAGGCAATCATTGATAAAAAAGCGAGAATTCTACAAAGGAGATTATTTACAACCCTCACCGCAGAACCTGAACCCTTGAAACGAGTTTCCGTTCCATTTGATCAAGATATTACTTGTAAACTAAGACCACAGTTAAAACAATTCGGATTAGATTTAGGTTTCACCAGTAGACATAATCAGTTGAAATCATTGTTAGGATCCACTAAAGACCCATTTAATGTCTTAAGCAGGTGTATATAAAATAAGCTGTAATCATTGTAACAAAGTATACGTAGGACCAACCAAGAGAACTTTAGCAACTAGATTGAAAGAACATATATCGGTTAATAAGGCCAAAAAGCAAGAGGAAAAAGGCCTAACATATGATTTCAAATCAAAGGTTGCACAACACATCTTCACAGAAGACCACCAACTATCAACGGAGGACATCACGATTTTACGAACCGTATCTACACTAAGGAAACTGGATGTTGCAGAGAGCCTCGAGATCAACAAATAACGGAATTCAACTTTACTCAACAGGGATCAAGGAAACAGACACACATGGCTTTTCAAGTTACTACCTAGGACACTCAACGAATAAGCAGTGGAGTATTAAATTAAATTTAAGTTTACCTTGCTTTTAAGTGAAAATGTACCTGTGTTTCTCTTCAGTCGAGTATTAGTACAAGACACTGAAGAAGTCTGCACATTGTAGACGAAATACGCGTATCTGTCAAGGATAAGCAAATAAGGTAGTGGAATTAAATGGAAATTACTAATCTTTCTCTCTCTCTCTCTTTATATACTAAAACTCATGAAAACACTGTACTAATTTCAATGACTTTATCATAAAAAATGCAGTTTGACCTCCCTGCAAGAAAAGGTTGATTCAAGAACGGTTTGTTTTATTTGATCCGAACAGTATCTTAAAAGCTACCTGCAAAAAAAATCAAATATTTTAATTTTTTGTTAGTACGCTTTTTTTAATTTCTACACAGGAAACAATAAATAAGACATTCTTAATCATTATCTGCGCAATAATTACATTGAAAAGCTTGGTAACAAGAAGTTTCAAAATATGTCCAAAAGATCTTGTTGCTTGCATTTTCCATAAGTTTTATTTAGAAAATAAATTATGAATTTTGAAGATATACTTTTTGAAAAATTTCCAAACTTATCAATTTCAAAATTTTCAAATAACTATCATATCAAGACCAACAATTGAAAAGGCCTTAACTACATTTTGTTAACAAACCTTGTAAAGTCATTTTGTCGCAAACCGAAACCTCAATTCGCAAACCTAAAACACAATCAGGTAGAGGAGGATTTGCCCTACCTGTTCATTTTGTTGGTTTGTGTTGGTGAATTTTGGTTCGCGGAAAAATGACATGTTGTTTGCAAATTGGAGTTGAGGCCTTTTCAATTGTTGGTTTAGATATGACATGAGTGATTTCGTTATAATTCCTTAATTTGGTGTAAATTAAACCATTTCTGATCAGAAATGTTATTCCTAGGACATCATTGCTTGCTATTTTCAGAATTCACACAATCACAAAATCAGCAGCTCTTATTATGAGAAAATTAAAATACATACATTCGTGACGGTCTTGGACGACAGTGTCGTATGACAGAGCATGTCAAATGACATTTGAGTTTGGTACTTTACTATGATAGCTTGTTTTACAAGTGTCCGAGGCAAAGGCAGCCGATTATCACAGAAAATGTGTCAACTACCGTGATCGCTAACAAGACTGACAACGAAAGAACAATGAAAAAAAAAATATATAGAAAGATAGAGTGATGTGACATTCGTCACCAATGGCTACAGCTCCAAGGTTGAGCTAAACAACACCATCTTGTAAAACATGGTGAGCTCTTGAAAATATTTCTACAAGTGGCATTCATTCTGGAAGGAATTCTTTCCTTAGACATTCGAATCCCAAAAAATAGAAATGTCCCCACCATCGAATATATTTCCATTCCACCTTCGCCGGGCCCATAAATCCTTCTCCTTCGTTTACGCTTTTGGTGATTTTTTTGTACCATCAGGCAGCCCGCCGAAACACCATAAATTTTTGGGAACAAGTGTGGCTGACCAAAAGTGTGACATTGTGGCTTCCTGTGCGGGCACCTTTTTCTTGGAGACTGAGAAGCCATAGCCTAGTTCGGAACGAACGGCGACGACGGCCACGCGATGACAGTGGTATCGCAAAAGCACCTTCTAAATGGTTCCCAAGAACCCATAATAGGGAAAATACATTAAAATAAATCACGACTTTTTGCATCGTCGTGTGGGTTTTCTACATATCGCATCCTTGGTTATTGGCACACACAAAAAAACCCAGTCCGTAAATGGATGGTGATACGTCCTCACTAATGTCGGTATTGATTGGTTTGCAATGGGAACTTTTAAGTAAACGAAATATTTTTCTTTTGTATTCCCCCGGGGGGGGGGGCGAAATTTCTGCCGAATAAACTGGAATTGAAACAAATGTCCTTAAATCTGGTTGACGAGTCAACTCTTGCTTGTTCGATATTCGTCAGTAAAGTTATTTAAATATCAAAAAATAAATTAGATTAATCTTGACATCATCTTGCATGAAGATGTCAAATAGGGTTATATTTATCGATTGATAATTATCGTGTCCAAGGAATGTTATTAAAGTTTGCTTTTTTTATGAACTTTTTTAGAGATCAATTTAAAAATTTAGCAAGGAAATTTTGAGATATTTGAGGTTTTATCATATTTTTGAACTTTTACTATAAATGACTTAAAAAATATCGTGTATATTTTTCACGTGAAGTCTTTATTTTTCTCTACAACTTGATCTAATCCGTCATTTCGATCAGAAGTGACGTTTACAAACCACATTTTTTTTTAAAGCCAAAGACGCCATTTAAAAAAAAATACAATAAAATGGCCAAATTTTAGTAAATATGAGAATGATTGCCCATAACAATTAAGTATGCAAAGTTTCATGTACATCAAATACGGTCCAGTCAAATTTTGTTATCGCTTTTTGGTCTGGAACTGCTCCGATATCTGAACATAGAAAAGCTCCTTATGCAAAATTTTGATTATGGCTTTTACGCCACATTGTTGTCACACGGCAGCTGCGACTGGTCTGTTGTCATCCGCTTGCCTCATGGAAGCGTGAAGTAGAAACTTGCCAGTACCAGAGCTCCATCTAGGTTGTCACCAGCTGCAAAACAATCATAGAGTTCCGGTTAGCCCACCTCCAGTGAAACTTTCTCATTACATGACAGTTTCCAGTGCTAAAGTTCGCATATGCCACTGACATGTAAAATTGCTAATGAACTGCACTGATTCTATAAAATCCAATTCGTTAAATTAGCACCCACCGAAATCACACGCCTGACTAAGCTTCCAAACAATGCCAAGTGCTGTGATGCCTCGTCTTGTACCTAAATAATCAACTCTGGCCCTAACTGGATTGCACTGTCGTCCGCATGGGCAACCCAATCAACGAACCAATATCCAATCAATTGATTACCGTCGCCGTCCGGAAAGTACCTACAGCCATCAACTCGATACTCATTTCGTGATTTACAACCACTAAATTTTAACAACCCTCGTCGGCAAAATATAGTCCCGTCAAAGCTCCCAAAATTTATAGACACCCCATCACGGTTCGCTTATCTTCCCTACCGGCGGTAGGTAGGTACAGTGGCCTCAGTATAAATTGTCAGCAAAACTCAAAGTAAAAGTACCCGGAGGAGATTAAATCAAAGCTGCCGTAAATTTTGCGCTAATTAATTAGTCTCGTTCGATGCCAGAAGCGAAAAAAGCGGAACACTTTCTTCGGCTCTTCGCTGTCGCCAGCAATGCGCCACCAGGGACAGATTTAAAGCCAGAATCGGCAGCGCGGAAATACGACCACGCTAAAAGACGCCAAGGTCCTTCCCTAGCATCGTGGGCCAAAAGAAGGCTGAGCCCGGAATCTCACGTACCGTCTATCAACTTGATTCATGATCAATTATCGTGTCGTTCGGAGTGATGCTACCTGACGTGCTTGCTGCCTCCTACACTCATCCTCACCTGCACCGTTTTTGAACTTCTTCGGTTCTGCCAGGAAAAAAGTGTTCCATCATATTTCATCACTCCGCCCATAATAAGCCAATTAAGATGATAGGCTTGCGACAGAATGGCACCGGAAATGCTCCACAATGGCCAGGAATGATAGAGGGAAGGGCAAAAATCAAAACTTCCGCTTTCCCTTACCATGATGGCGTTGATGATCAAGGAGACGCTTCCGGTTCCCAGTTTCATTTAACGGTTACTGGGCCGCGTAAAAATGTTTCGGGGAAAAAATAATGGTTGTTAATATTTTCCCACCTGGGAGCCCTGCTTGGAACCAAAGTTGTGAATTTCATCCCCCCTTCATTAAATGGGCTCACACCTACCAAAGTGTGAGCGAACGGACATCAGTGGACCCAGCGAGAGATTAAATTTAATGCAGTCTTTGTGACACATTAAGTCGCCAGAGCTGTCCCTTTGGGTCAAAGGTCAAACTTCATTTTCCCGAGCGAGCAACGGAAATGCAAAGCAGAATATCGAAGATTATGACAGTCGTAAAAGTCTCTTTCACTGTCGACCGACCGACTGACGATTGATGGACGCCGGCCACGGGAAGGGGATGGAGAGGGCCTATTAAATTTGTTCAATTCAATTTGCCTTAATGGCTCTCCTGGCGCAGGCGATGGCTGGCTGTTGGGAAAATTTCATTATACTGATATTTTGGAATTTGAGAAATTGTTCGCATTTATTTCATGATAATTTTCTTTCTCCTTTAAAGGTGTCCTGGATGCGCAAGCGGGATCTGCACATTCTGACATCCGGTACGCATACCTATACGGGGGATCAGCGATTCTCCGTCCATCACCCACTGGACTCGGACGATTGGGATCTGAAGATATCGTTTGCCCAGCCACGCGACAGCGGCATCTACGAGTGTCAGGTGAACACTGAACCGAAGATCAATCTGGCGGTGTATCTACACGTTACAGGTGAGTCCATGGTTTGTTAGCCATATGTGCCATATCTCACTTCGCGGCGCTACTATACATGTGAAATTCTCGCATATAAAATATCTCTAGATCCTTACCAGATAGGAAGTAAATGTATTCGGCAAAGTTTTTCAGGAAGTTAAAATCTTTTTGTTGGGTGACAATACACACCAAAAAATTCTGAATTTTACTGGCGATGTAAACATCCATGCATGCAAACATTCATACATGTAAACTTCCTTTTCACGTAAACTAGCAGCTTGCATGAAATGTTGCAAACAAAAGTGGACAGTTGCTTACAATATGTGGAATATTGAATGACATGTCTCATAAATTTACTCGATCCATAATCTAAACTTGTATGATATATGACGCTCTATTTATGTGCATCATAGTAACGGAAATTTACACTATTTTTTTTAGTTATATAGCTCAGAATTTTTTGACTATGGGGCGCTAGTATATACGTGCCTTTCTAGCATATTTAGCTCGAGATCTTGATCAGCTAGAAAGTTGCTGTCTTCGACAAAGTTGTTTAGGGGTTCAAGACTTTTTGGCTGGTAGACAGTAGTTAAGCATTTTCTTACCACGTGGCAAATTTTTCGCTGAGAACCAGCAAAATAAAACAGCGAACTGCTCGGTGGTGCCCATCTTGGCAAAAACATTCTAAGTGTGTAGGTACATTCAAAGTCATAAAGAAAAGGCCTGATAATATGAAATTACCATCTCTTTCATTATACCGCTATTCCTACGCTACAAGGAGTGTGCCTTCGAATTTGTGGTTACATACACCTTATCCTAAATCAAAACGAGAAGAATCTATTCAGTTCATCTGAAATGTGTAATTTAATGTAAAATGTATAAAATATATAGACACGAGTTAGTCAGTCCAGCCATAGGACTATCTCAGTCGTGAGATTAATTTACTCAGTTGTCTGGAGAAATTTCCAAAAGCGTAGTTCACTCAGCGCTGAGTAACCTACACTCACGATCATATGCTTAAATACACTCCCAAAATACATGCAAATGTGTTTTGTTCAAAGCTATCTCATTTTACGTCCAATTTTTGATCTTCTTAGGTTATTTGAATGGTATGAATGACATAGAATAAGGGTTCTACTACTACTTTTAATTTCAAATATATATTTTTCAACTCAAATCTGAGAAAATCAATCATGATTCTTCAGAGTACATTTTGAAAAATAGTGTAACTTTGGGTGAACCTTTGGTATACAAAATTTGAAAATTATATGGAGCAATTTGCCTCTTCGTATTTCCATTCAAAGTCTTTCAAATGTTCTAAAAAGAACGAAAATTGGACGTAAAATGACAAAGATATGAACATAACACATTTGCATGTTTGTTGGGGGTGTCCTTAAACTTATAATCGGGGGTGTACGAATTTATAAATTTCTCCATTCAACTAAGCAAAAGTGCCTACCTCTCAGAGTTAGTTTCGTTGTTCATGCACACGTAAATACAGGGATTTTTTTTTGTTCTAGACCCCTCGATAATACATTTTGAAATTAGCCTAAAATGAAAGGGAGAATGTTTTCCATCTGAGATACGTGTTACCACTAATTTATCAGAGGTATACAAGTGGAACGACTCACCCCAACTTATGTATCCACAAATCTACATGAAAATCTACACCAGTAAAAGAAATCCAGAATATATTTTTCTTATCCCACTTAGGCTGATATAAATTGTATTTTTATTTAATGATATTTGATATGCGAGAATTTCCCGCCAAATTTTGAGAAATTTCTGAACTACTTTTCATCAGCCAAATGATCTTTATCTCCTAAACAGCTTTGCCAAAAACAGTAAATTTCTAGTTGTTCAGGATCTCGAGATATTATATATGCGAAGATTTCACGTATACCCTAGCGCCGCGTAGTGAAAAAATTCTGTACTGTCGACCAATGAAAAAGTTTTGATCTTCTGGACAACTTTGCCGATGACAGTTTAGTAGGTCTCGAAATATATCTAATGCGAGAATTGCACATACAAGCGCAATGATGTAAAAAAAATGAATTTCTGTCCACCTGAACCTGAACAACTTTGCCAAAGGCAGTAACATTCTATTTGGTCAGGATCTCGTGATATTTTATATGTGAAAATTTCACGTGTATACTAGCGCCACTTTGGAAATTCTCAACTATTGTACACCAAGCAATAGGTTTTGACCTCCAGAACAACTTTGTCCAAAACAGTAACTTTCTATCTGGTCAGGATCTCGAAACAAACCACATGCGACAATGTATACTAGCGCCACGTAGTGAGACAACTTTGAACTACTTTTCACCAGCAAAAAAGTTATGACCACTTGAACAACTTTGTCGACGACAGTAACTTTCTAGCTGATCAGAATCTCGAGATATTTTATATGGGAGAATTTCGCGTGTATACTAATGCCACGTAGTGTGAAAATTCTGAACTATTGTGCACCAAGCAATATGCATTGACCTCACGAACAACTTTTTCGAAAACAGTCATTTTCTACCTGTTCAGGATATCGAACTATAGTATACGCGAGAATTGTTTACGTTTACTAGCGCCACGTGGTGAGAAAATGTTGGGCTACTGTCCACCACCCAAAAAGTCTTGACCTCCTGAACAAGTTTGTCGAAGACAGTAACTTTCTATCTGCTCAGGATCTCGAGCTATTGTATATACGAGAGTTGCATGTGTATACTAGCATCGCGTAGTGATAAAATTCTGAGCAACTGTCCACCAACATAAAGATCTTGACTTCCTGAACAACTTTGCCACCGACATTTATTCTCCATCTGGTCAGGATCTAGTTATGTATTACATGCGAAAACTTAACATGTATACAAGCGCTACCTAGTGAGAAGATTCTGAATTAATTAATTAATTTAGCTTTATTTAGGAGGCTTTCAGCCTTAGGCTGGTTTGCCTCCAATATTCTGAATTACTGTTTACCAGCGAAAAGTTTATGATCTCCTGAACAGCTTTGCCGAAGACAGTAACTTTCTATCTGGTCAGGGTCTCGAGATATTAAATATGAGAATTTCACGTGTACACTAGCGCCGCGAAGTGAGAAAATTCTGAACTACTGTTCACTATCCAAAAAGTCTTGACCCCCTGAGAAAGTTTGTCGAAGACAGTAAATTTCTATGTGTTCAGGATCGCGAACTATTGTATATGCAAAAATTGCACGTATATACTAGCGCCACGTAGTGAGAATTTTCGGAACTGCTCTCCACCAGCAAAAAAGTTATAATCTCTAGAACAACTGTGCCCAAGACAGTAACTTTCTATCTGGTCAGGATCTCGAGATTTTCCGTGTTGTAACCAATTAAATCAAATCCCACATAGTACGGACACCGTTTACGCGGTTTCCATTCACATTTTCGCTATTATCTGCATTTTTGGGGGTTAACTGTGATAAGAGTTGAGCTTGTTTAGTTAAAAACAAGTTTTTTTTAAGGAATACCCGTTGGTTTCATATCTATTGGTAGCTCGGCTGCAAAATGACAATAGAAAGCTCACCCTGTTGTACAAAGTACAACGCGCGAGTACTCGTGTTACAAAAGTTGGCGCGAGTAACGGAGGGTTAAAGGCTAGTTTTCGCTCGAAAATATCGCCTTGCATTGCACCTAAACTAAGCTGAAAGTGCAGGAGCAATTCGACAAAGGACTCAGAGTAGATAGTATTCCAACTACTACAAGTGCTTCAGCAGCCTCATTGAAGGAATGGCCTTCAGTTTGTTTAGGCTGTCCAAGAAAATGAAGTAATGATCAGGAGGACGTGAGGCAATGAGCTCTAATGCTTATGATATAGCTACTAGCTCCACAACGTATACGGAACAAGGTTTCTTAAGGTTATAGGAGGTTCTATGAAATTGAATACCCTAAATCCAGCGGACGCATTTATTGTAGACACATCTGCGAAAATCCTCTTCGTGGTGCTATTTTATTGCGAAAATTATGGGATCAACTATAAAGCGATGCACAATGGGCAAAATCGATTATTTTTGTCACCGTTTGAGGTCGTTAACAACTAGCATTTAGTAGCCTATTTTGCCCCAATTCCCCTAAGTCTACCATTATCGTTTAATGTACCGTTCCTCAAATCTTGATGAGTAATTTGAAGCATTTAATGATTGAAAAATGCCTGGGAAACATATTTCCTACAGTTCGTTTTCAGCTGTAGACACAGTAGCAGTGTTAATTCTCGGTGTCGATACTTGGACCGATTACTCCATCAAGAATAAGTTCAAGGCCGGTTCCAACCCTCTAGTTGTCACCTGGATGGGTGTTGTTATAGGGGTACTGCAAGAACCCCCTCCTACAACACGACAGCCGTGTTTACCGACTCGGCTACACACTTAGAAATACCTAATCTTACACGTGACAGAATCTATCTTTGACATAAAGGATGAGACGTAAACAAACATGTCATGTAAAATTAAGTGCTCCGAGACTAAAGTACGTTTCCTTGATTTTTTTTCCGTCGATCTTGTTTTCCGTGCTGAGCACCAATGCCACCGACGCCAGGGAGGCAGCTCCCACATCTGGACCCTACCTATCGACCCATCAACTCATGAATCCAAAGGAAGGCGTGATCAGAAATGTTATGCCTCAGAACATCCCGGCGGCGCTGACTGGAATTGAACCCAGGCCTGCTGGGGTGAAAGGTAATCACGCTTACCACTACACCACCGGCGTCGCTTAAAGTACGTTTTATTGAGCTGAGTTTCGTGTCTAATTTTATGACTCAATTTTATGTCAAAATTGACGCTCGTATATGTCAGTCTCAGAGCACCTAAATTTACATCAATTTTTCTAAGTGTGTAGTGTAGGGGTAGCCCTCGATTCAGACATCTTCAAACACCTGTGGATCAAATGCATCCAAAGGTTTGCCTCACTCGATACTTCACACTTAGAAATAACTATTTTTACACGACACGTAATCCATATTTGACGTAAATTATGGAACATAATAACATAAACAAACATGTCATGTAAAAT